CTGAGCACAGAATGGCCCAAGAGTTCTCATCTTGGGACTGTGCATTAAGAAAATAATAAAAAAATGTGTGAATTCAAAAGGAAGTATAGCAAGAGGTCATGAGACAGAGCAGGCGCTCTGAGGGATCGTGAATAAATCAAAATTAGAGGAAAGATCGGGGCGGGGAGGAAGTCCCACAGTGGGAAGAGAAGTAGGAGAGAAATAGGAACATGGAGTGCAGCTCAGTGAGGATGCAAAACTCGGCTCCAGCCTCTGTGGGGCCCTCACTGGGCATTGTCCAAACTGAGTCCTGAGTTTTCACGGCCCTCACAGCAACACGTGTGTTCTTCCCTCCTTAGGACGCTTAGCCTGAGTATCTGTTCCATGTGACCTGCCATGGCCACGTGAAGACAGTACTGTGAGTCTGTTATCAACAGCAAGCCAACATCACCTCCCCACCCTGTCCAGGCCCACTCAAGTGGCCCTCAGCCCTGCCCTTGATTCTGGAGAGCCCCACTCTGGTCACCATCCCCCGGCTGAGGCCTAGCCCTGACGCTTGCTAAGTGCCACCCCCAGGGGCGTACCCTCATTCTGGCACTGCAGCCGTGGGACCTCTGCCTTGCATCAGCAGCCAGGGCAACTCCCCCAACACCCCTCTCCAGCAAACGCACCAGCCTGGGAAGAGCCAGACAGAACTGGCCCTCTGACTGAGGTGTTCACAACATACGGCTGAAACATCATTTTAAATCCAACTCAACCTAAAGAAGCTTGACCCAAGAAGTGACATGTTATCATGCCACATGGAATGCTCAGGTTATGCAACATTACTCAATGGGCACATCTTCTGAGTCACCAAAGAATCCACATTTATTTTCTAAGTGAATGTGCATGTGAACACTAGGTACATTTCCTGTAAAAGCACTGCTGGTCAAAGTTCTTAAGAATCTAAAGTTTATTTGGAGACACAAAAATGACATCCCCCAAATAACCCTGCACTACTTGGTCACGATTCTAAAACAAAACTGTGTGTGTGTGGGGGGGTAGTTCTCTACATTATGCTGTGACATTCCCACTGCACAAGGCCCTCCCCTCTGCTTTCTCCTGTGCCTTCCTCCCGGGCTGTCCTCACAGGCTCCACTCGTCCAGAAAACACGGCTCTTCTGTCTGTTCTCCCGAGATAAGCACACAGGGCCTTCCCTATTGTCACTGCAGGGAAGCCAAGGAGGAGAGCCACATTAATGTCCCCAGCTCCTACTATCTGCCTGGTCTCCAATATTCAGTCCTAACCCTACTCTGAGAAGGAAGCCTCCTTGAACGTCTTGCTCCCTTCTTTAACTTGTGAGGGTGACCAGCTCTGTTCGGCATCGGTAGGCAAGGCCAGCAAAGTGTCATGAAGGCCGCAGGCTGGTCATGGTGTCCTGCGGAGAAGTAGGAGTTGTCACCAACTTTCTCCTGTCACCAACAGGAATGTCTGGCTAGATTCATGCCCTTCTCTTCTTGCTGCTATGAGGTCAGCTCTCCTTCCTCTATGTTGCTGGGTCAAGTTTAGCTGCTCAGACTAAGGGACAGAAGGAAGTCCCCTCCCCACATGAGGAACGGAGACAGCTCACCCAGAAGACGGGGGCAATACCTACTTATCTCCCTCCCTGTTATCTTCAAAGGACAGGAGCCTCTTGAAACCATGCATATTTATTTTCCTGTATTCTGAAGGGAAGGCAAACCCTGTGAAAGGAAAGTGGGGTCTTATCTGGAGAGTGAGGCCCTCCCAGAGTCAGTGTCCTGGGAGGAGGCAGGTCTCAGACAGGACACTGAAATCAAGATAAAATGGCCTCGCAGTCTTGTTCTGAACTTCAACTAATTCACGTGAAAGGAGGTAGAAGTCCCGGCTAACGATCACAGAATCATATGCCCACGATGGGGGCAAGGCTCAGTAGGACAAGGGAAGAGCCTCAGAGCAGAATGAAACCTGCATCAGGAGGCAGCCAGACTCTCCACACACTTGACAGGGCCTGTGATCCCTTCCCCGTGAGGTTTCCGTCTCAGGTGTGTTCAGGAACTCATGCATGTGTCTGTGCCTGCAGCAGACCGGCGGGCCCGCGTGACGGGGGAAGCCCCAAGGCCCTGCTCTCTGTTTATCTGGGAAACAGGAAGAGTCCCAGCATCCTCTGTCTACGTTCCCACCCTCATTTCATCATCTCCAATCCCACCAAAAACATCATGAGACATTCTCAGCAGGTAACATCCAAGCCTCGACAAGCCTCCCAAAGCAGAGAACAAGTCTCCCTTCTTACGAGATCATGAAGTTTCAAGGAAATTTTAAAAATCTATTTATGTTGTTTTATATAAATACAAACCAAAAAAATACCTTATCCTGGTTCCTTCTCCATAAGAGGGAGAAAACGGGCAAGATTCATGGGGCCACCACAGCCCCATAGAGGCTCCCTGGCACCAGCTGAACAGGTGCACCACTGATGTTCAGGACCAGCCCACATGCAGAATGATCACCAAAGCACAGGGTGAGCAATTTTAAAGAGCTTAACTTATTGCTGGTATCAGGCTGAGTGAAATCTATCAACCTACCAATGAGAATTTAAAAGACTGGCCTGATCAATGACAATGATGACAAAATGAAGCCAAGACCTTCAGACACAGCTCCAGGTCCAGCCAGGGAAGTCAAGGGAAGTCAAGGGGCTGGCAGTCCCCTCTCAGGCTCGGAGCCCTGGCAGCTCCCCAGATCTTCCTGAGAGCAGCGGCAGGGTGACGTGTGGTAGGCGATGGGCAGCACCAGCTCAGGGGAAAAGGAGGCTCTGCCCCCACACAACTCCGGAGAACACTCTCTCCCCTGCCCAGGGGTCAGACTGCACCAGATTCAACAGTTGCTCATAAAAGGTGTAAATGTTCATAAAGAGAAAATTCAAATGCGTGGAGAAAACTTAAGCACTTTGTTCCTGAAGTTCTTTGTTGGTTCTCACACAAGAGACATTCCGGTCATGAAAGGAATGTAAAGCAATCTCACCACAAAAAAATTTTTGTAAAAATCCCCTCTTCTTAAGATGCTGTAATCAATTATGCCAAACAAACCTCTGGATTCTCTCTAGGCCTACATCCCAGTTGCTTTTATTTCTCAGGAATGACAAATTTGTTTCACTGTACTCACTTGCTTTGCTAGCAGACTCATTGTTTTAAATTGATTTTATCAAGGCTGCCAAAAACATGTAAGGAATAGAAAACTTTCCATATATCCCTGTAGAAGTTGGCACGCCCCCTTTCTCTGCTTTCTTTTAAGAGGACTTACTGCCATTGGAAGGGCCCTCACAAGAGACTCAGCAAGTCAGGTTCTCAGAGCCCGGTAGGAACTTACCAATTTCACACTGGAGGGCACTTCCTGCCTGCAGGACCCCAGCTGTAACTTCCCCAACCCCAACCTTCCTCTGCTTGCTGTTTGCTTCATTTCCTTCCCTTGCTCCTTCCACTGAATTACTTCTCAACCTCCCTCTCGGCCACTTCCTCTTCCTCTACTGCAAAACCCCACTGGGCCTTCTTTTCATTCACCGGCAAAGCTACTTTTAAAACATTTTGCTCCCTGACAAAAGTGAATTTGCCCATCTGATTTTCATCAGCAGGTGTAGAGCCACAAGAAATGGTCTGGTTGGGTCTGACTGCTTTTAAGCCAGGAGGAACTTGAGGAAGGACTGGATAAGAAGGGCAAGATGCAAAGAGGGCTCATGTTTACAAATGCCCTCAAATTACCGTGTATCAAATCAATGACTTAATCAAACATGGACAAGGTGGTACAGATAGATGGATGGCTCTTGAAACATGAGATGTTTCTCTCTCACAATGAGAAATACTACCGTCAACAACAGATAAACAGTTTAAAAAAAATCAAATACCCATATTGGCAAAAGTGTGGGGTAACAGGCATGCTTACATACGCCAGTGGGGAAGCAACCTGGTAAAACTCCCTCCTAGGATGGCAATTCGGCAATTTCTTTCAGAATTACAAATGAACATACACTTTGGCCCAGCAAGTCTTCTTTTAGGAATTCATCCTCATACATACACACGAAGAGGTTTATCCAAAATCATCTGTGGGAGCAAAGGGCTGGCATGACCTCAATGCCCACGGGCTTAAAGCTGATTCAGTCAATACAGTATGACAGAAAGGAACGTGGGCAGTCATTAGGAGGAGGGAAAGCTTGTGGACAGTAATGGGTATTCAGAGGGAGCAGGCGGGGGAGAGCCGCACCATGCACACTGGCGCATGCAGACTGTCAGTGGCTCCCCATAGTGGTTTCCTGAAACACAGGAGGAGAGCAGGCACCCGGGCAGGAGGGACACCGACTTTTCATGACACGTCCCCAACCTTACACCACTTTTTACCATGAACAAGTATTTCCTAAACACAAATTCATTTTTGAAAATAACATGTGACTGGAAGTTTAAGAAGTAAAAAAAAAACTGCATGACCAACTGTGATGATTTTCCAACTCTGGGAAAACTGGTAAAGAAACTGATTTTAATGGATCATGACCTACAGTTTAAAACATGAAATAAAATAGAAGATGTCAGAGTGTATCTGACATGATGATTAGGTCTTTGGGGGGAATTTTTTCTTTCAGTTGTGTGTATCAACGTAATGAGTTTTGATGTAAAAACTGTTTCTTACAAAACATCATGGTCACCATAAACTGAAAATCATTGCATTACTGTATTTCTAACCAAAAAAAAAAAAAACCCAGCTCAAAATATCGAAATAAATAAAAGAAGAAGATGGCTAAATCAAGAAAGCATGTTACACTGTCAGCACAGGGATTTCAGAGGTGAAGGGCTCTGACAGCTCCCGAGAGGTCTTTCCTCTACACAGACAGCATTTGCCACCCATATTAGATTTCTACTGCCAGGTAACAAATTACCACAAACTTAGTGGCTCAGAACTACACACATGTATCATCTGACGCACAGCGTGATGGGACCCTGTGCTCAGGGTCTCCCTTCTTTGTGCAGCTCTGGGGAAAAACACACTTCCATGTTCACTCAGGCTGTTGGCAGGAGGCAGCTCCTAGCAGCTTTAGGACTGAGTCCCCATTTCCTTGCTGGTTGGCAGCCCGGCACTCCTGCACTCCCCATCCATGCCTCCTGTCTTCAAGCCCACTCTCACTTCCAATCTCTCCCACCTGCCAAAGCTCTCTACTTTTAAGAGCTCATGTGACTCCATCATACAATGATCCCGGCAGCAATACCTCATCATAGTCACAGGTTCTGGGCATCAGGATGGGACATTTTGGGGGGCCACTTTAGAAATTCTGCTTACCAGGCCACCTTACCTTTATTTCCTGCTTAGGAGGTTACTAAACGCTACTGCCCTCCCACTCCCAAACCAAGAGATTCCAAGAGATAGTGATCGGCGCCTTACTGCCAGCTCAGCAGGCCTGACCTCATGTAATAAAGCCCACCAGTTGCCCTCGGCATTTAGACTCTGCAGTGTACAGACTGAGGCTGCATTTCAGCAGACTTTCTGCTTAGCACAGAAGTTCCTCTGTGAAAACAAATGCTTCGTTATAAGGCATTCTGATTTCTAAAAATAAATACCCAGTTGTATTCAACCTCAAAGATGATCCACAATTAAAGGAGAGGCCAGTTCTGTAGCTGCTCTGAATGATTCATGTTGACTCTTGATGAAGGGCTGTGCCAAGAACCAACCTTCACAACAGTGATTAATTAAAACTGACCATTAAAAAGTAAATATAGAATATATACAATATAGAATTCATGGAGGAGAGCAAACAATAAAAACTACTGAATTCTAAAATGATTTCCATTATAAATGATTCTCAGCATTGCCTACTGAGTAGTGCTAACACTGAATTCTTTTCTTTGGTGGCCTTTTCGAGAGAGCTGGAATTACATGAATAATAACGTCTCCCCAGCATAACGAGGGGCATGTATCATAGCACTGCCAGAGGGAAGGAAACAGCTGAAGGGATTTCTCAGGGCTCATCTTCCAAAGCAGATCTTGAAGCTCCTGTTGGGGATCTTGCAAATATAACTTGTTTTCCATAAATTACATTGAAAGCAATGATTTCTGAGCAAAGATGGCTTCACATTCCCAGAAACTATAAGTGTAAGTATAAAAAGACCCCAAATCACCAGAAATAACATGGTAAAAGGGCTGGGTTTCTGAGTTATTTACCACCCAAAAGGATCCTTATTACAGGCCTCCTTTAAATACTTAACTTTACAAATATAATCGAAATATCTTTTTATTTCCAATAGTTCCCCTTTGAGAAAATTCTGAGGTGGTAGCAAAAGCACTGGCTTTTGACTCCAAAGTCCTCAGTCTTTGTGTGTTCTGGGGCCACTCCACTAAGCACACCACCTCCCGAGAGCATACTTCTGGCAACAGGAATTTAATCATTTAAAAATCAGGTCAATAATCCACAGGGCTGCTGCAAAGACCAAATAAAAGCAGGGATACAAAAATGCGACATACACCATTCTAGGAACACCTCCACCACCAAGAAGGCTTCCAGATGGACGACTGCTGCTTGGTGATCTGGAAAACCGCAGGCGTCTCTGGGATGAAATGCCCCCATCCCAAAAGAGGTTCCCAATGGGCACTCACTTGGGACGAAAGGAGTTTCTGCCCAGGCTACTCACGTGGTGAGTGAACCTACAGCCTGGGAGAATGCTACTGACAGGAACATGGGAGATAAGAAAGATGACTCCAAACTAATGCTAAGGTTCCTCCTCTAAAGCCAAATGAGTTAGGTGACAAATGATGTCCGTAATCTCTTTAAGCACGTGCACCCCCTCAACAATCTAAAAGATCTGCTTGAAACCCCCTATGTAACCCCAATGCGCCAAGCCCGGCCTCCCTCTGCTCTGCCACACTGCATTGGTCACCCAGTATTCAGACTCCCCTGCTCCCCCAGCAATGCTCCCATACCCACCCAGCACCACGGGCCCCTCCTCAGCTTTCTCCTCGAAAAGGGCTACCACCCCTATTATTGACTGTCCTTGCACCCTGTTCACTTCTTCCCGGGCACCTGTCAGGTTTATAAAGAGATGTTACTGGCACAGTATGTTCACCTGGAAGCCGCTGCCGTTTAGCCCAGCGTAGTGCCTGGTACACAGCGGGTGTTCAGTGAACACTTGTTGAATGAATAAAACTAGTACACTCTGGAGTAACTGTGTCTCTATTAGTACGTCTAAAACAGAGGTTCTCAAACTTGGCCTTAGGACCCCTTTACACTCTAAAAAAACTTGAGGCCCCCAAAGAGCTTGTGTTTACATGGGTTACATCAACCACATGTTAGAAAAATTTTAAAACACAGGCCACCAGCACACATCCCATTCGTGTTAGAGGGAAGATGCCATCCTGGATGCCACTCAGCCTCTGGAAAGTCCACTCTACACTTGTGAGAGAAGGAGAGAAACAAAGACAAATAATGTCATGGTATTATCATGAAACCAGTTTTAACCTTACCCCTCTTCCCACCAAGAGACCCAGAACCAAACTTTGGAAACTACTAGGCTGAAGTTTTAGCCAAAAACTACACTGTAACCAGTCAGAAGAAAAAAAAATATATGAAAATATGGTCAAACTTTGCAAAAGAGGAGCCAAATGGCAAAACACTGACCATGGAGCTCTATCAGGATGTACACTGGGGCTACGCGGTGTTCACGACGTGCGTGAAGCAGGCTGTCACCACTTGATACCATTCGACTCCTCCAATTCATTCGCCTTGTTTCCGCTGCATGAAAATAAGTTCCTTGTCTCTGGGATAGTTGTTTTGTTCAGTATAAATTAAGAAAGGCCCATTTGCTTTATCCTCTACACCTAAGTCTGAGTAACTAAGTCTGCCACTGGTCAACTTTGTATTCAGAAGCAGAGAGAAGCAAACCCTGGTCTTGACAATCACACCAAGGTGTGTGGCCAGGAAGCCTCCAACCTAAGGCTGCATTTACATCGGACATTCTGCTGTATCTCATTCCTTCTAATGGCAACTTTACCAGAAAATGTTCAAGAGATCTAGGGGAGTCAATGCTCAAATTCATTGGGATTTGCTTGCCAAACAACAGAACAGCAGTAATTTTAAGTGCTCGTTAAATACATCCAATCTGGCTTCTACTGAGGACTATTTGATTAAGCAGAGGCATATGATGCTCATGCTATCTGAATAAAATTATGCAGAGCTCTAAAATATTCTGCCAAGTACCAAACCAGCCTTCAGCGGTTGCTGGAGCCTAGTGCGCTGACCTGGCTGCTGGGAGGAGGACACCCATGCTCCAGGCTTTGTGATGATGTCTAGCTTGCCACTGGCTTCTCCCTGGGGTAAGTGTGCCAATCATGAACTTGCTCAAGAAGTTGTGTCACCTGGACCAAATCTAACTCCCAGGGTTGAAATGAGAATGCTTTCCTCAGGGTACACTAACACCATGTCTGTGTGCTGCCCCTTCCTGCACAGAAGTCTCCCCTGAGAGGCATCAGCAGAGGCTCTAGAGAGCCCAGCCCCTACAGTGAGCCAGGCCTATGCCAATTCCCTGTATCTAAAAAAAATCCCAGCTGGACAGAGTGAGGTCAAGCCTTCTCAGGGAATTTCAATCTTCCTCTAATGGGTTTTAAGTCAGAGTACACTGGTTCTTGCTGGAATGGCCCCAGCTAACACAGCCCAGCATTTACAGGCACCCTGCACTTGGGTGGCCATGACAGCCATCACTCCCAGTGACTAAGGTTGCAAACATCTGCCTTTCATCTCTACCTCAAGTACTGGATTTTCCAGCTTTTCACTACAGTTTAATCTCATCTGGGCCAGCTCCTTTTCACCTTTTATGCCCTGCTTTAAGTGCTCCCTCCTCACCCACAGCTTCTCTGAGCAGCCCTTCTAACTTTGGTCCCTCATAGTTCTGGACCTTAGCCCTTGTCTTCTACCTTCATAATAACGCTGTCTGCAGGGAGTTTGCGGAGGTCTGCTTACTTCTCTAGCACACAGTTAAGCGCTGGACACAATACTCATGAACACTGCACTGGGCCTCCTTTTATCTGTTACAGTTGAGAATACTTCATGCTGAGTGACGAGACAGCCTGCGGGCGGGGGACAGTGGTGGACCACTACTACCAGCAAGTCACATCACCTCACCCCGACACAGCGGGCCTTCCACAAGCAGCCTCCGTGATCACTTGAGTCCACTCTAAGGCCGGGTCAGTACCTCACTGCACACCCGCTACCAGCCCATGCTCCAAGTCGGGGAGTGATGGCCACCTGACAGCCAGAGGCTGCCCATCACTCCTACAGCAGAGACTCCGCCTCCACCCCGTCCCTTCTCTCTACCACACAGACCGCTCCCAGACCCCTTTGTCTGTCAGAGCTCTAGTTCACAAGAGGCAGAATCAGGACCAGTGATGGGCAACAGAAAGAGTCTGGGCGAACATTTTTTAATAGTTTTTTAACAGGCACACGATGCAGACTGCAGGTGACTAACGTACGCACAAACTAGCCTGAAACCCAGCTGGAGGCTGCGTTGGCAGGAAAAGCCTCTTGACAGAGACAACAGAGATTTCATGCTGCATAAACATGTCCACGGTCTGACCTTTCTTTATATCTTCTAGCTCAAGGGTATGAAGCACCTGCTCAAGGTATGTTTGCTACACTGAAGATAGAGCTTTACACGTCATAGCCTAAAAGGGCCTCAAACAACAGGTTTTATAAATACCACGATAAAGAACTGCGTTCTTAAAAACAAAGTTATCTTTTGCAGCAGTCCTGCCCTCTCACCTTCAGCCCTGTTGTAACTGGTTCATGCCTAACATACTTCCAGAGGCTTACATTTTGCAATGAAATTTCATGGTGATGGGATCTCTGGAAGTTAGTTATGTGAGCAAACAGGACTCCTGACCCCTGAGATTTTCCTTTGATCCTAGTTAAGTGTGCAGAACGCCTGCTGTGGAAATGGAAGGAAGAGGCTCAAATCTTCCTGCTCTGTGGCACAAAGCTTGGAGGCTTTCACAGTCCCCCTGTTCCTAAGAGCGTTAAAGTGTGGTGCTAAAACTTCCTTTGAAGGAAATTGCAGCCCTGCCTGTAAGAAAGCTCCACGTCAGTGGCCATGTTTGCTTTGCTCATCATTTTATGCCTGCACCTTGCTCAGTGTCCGGCACAGAGAACACTCAATAAAAATGTGTGCAAGAAGGAAAAGAGGGAAAAGCCAGAGTTTTGATTAGACTTCTTAATTTTCACCCTCAGATGATACTTATTTTAAAGCATATACAGGCAGACCTCAGAAATATTGTAGGTTCAGTTCTATACCACTGTGACAAAGCGAATACTGCAATAAAACAAGTCACCTGAAATTTTTGGTTTCACAGTGCACAGTGCATAGAAGTTATGTTTACACTGCACTGTAGTCTATTAACTGCACAATAACATTATGACTAAAAAAAAGTACCTACTTTGATTAAAAAACTTTATTGCTAAAAAATGGTAATCATCATCCGAGCCTTCAGCAAGCTGTACCAGTAACATCAAAGACTACTGATGACAGAGCACCATAACGAACAGAATCCTAATGAAAAAGTCTGAAATGTTGCAAGAATTACTAAAATGCGACACAAAGTGAGCAAATGTTGTTGGAAAACAGCGCCAAGAGACTTGCCTGATGCAAGATTGCTGCAAACCTTCAATGTATAAAAAATGCAGTATCTGCAAAGTGCAGTAAAATGAAGTATGCCTGTAGTTCTGTCTTCAGTCAGTAATGAAATAACAACAGCTATCATCAAGGACTGTCCTGGCACAATCAACTTAAGATCTCCAGGGTCTGACTAAGTCTGACAAGAGTCAGTGCACTGACTCACTGCAGGGAGGGAGCTGCCCCATGACTCCTTGCGAACATTATCCCTAGGACTCACAAGCCTGAAGGTTGTATTATTACCCTAATTTTACTTATCAAGAAATTAAAGCTCAGAGAAGTGTCCTTCCTCAAAGTCACATGGCTAGTAAACCCTTGTCCATATAACCCCCAAACCATCACAGAGCAACTAAGAAGGCCACATCCCAGACCTGCGCCAAGCCCAGAAAATGTTCCTTTAGACATTGTGAGCCAGTGGTTTACAGACTTTTTTAACTACAGGAGGAAACTTTCCTTCAAACAAAATCTTACTAAAACTGTAGACAAACAGACACACATTTGAAGCATAGGATGACAACATCCTTCAGAACCGTTCCTAGCCACGAGGGCAAGGCAGTGAGTGCTACTCCATGTGTTTAAAATGTTTAATTCAACCTAACCAGCCATCTGGATCTACACCTTCTCAGTTTTCTCTATGCTTAAATGTTGGACAGCGCCTTCAAAAAGGAGGGCAAGGTGGGGTAAAACTGGTCATTTTACTCAGATGGTAATGATCTACCACTATGCAGTTCTATGGCTCCAGCATTCCTGGACGAGGGAACAGCCAAAGAAAAGAAAAGGAGGTTGGAACAGGATAGAGTATTCGGTGAAAGGTGTTTATATGAGGTGGGCAAAGCCCTTGGCTTGTATGACTAGTCTAGGGGAAGGTCATGTCAGCTGTGAACCAAGAAGCACTCTGTAAATGGACTTCAGGCACACTGAACACCATGGACTTGGCAAAATTCAGTAGTAGACATGACATGACATGACTGGATCACAAGTGTATGATCACAAGAATGCCTAAGAACAGATTGATTAATGCCTTAAAGGATTTTCTAGATTCTACTTTAATTCAAAAATAAAATACAGAGTGATAGGAATAAAACATCTGTGTAGTTTGTAAATTAAAATGGAATACAACGTAATAGTGTATTTTAGAGGAATCAGGAGGCCTGAGACAGTAGGACAAGTTTTGTCACACTGTTCAGATCTTGCTGTCAGGATCTGACACAGACATGGCAAGAAGGTTCATCCCTGCAAGGAACCTTCACAG